ACAAGTGTATACATCAATACAAAATGTGAATATAATGCAGTTTGTGCATCCTATATAATTATGGCCTATTAATAGATGTGGGTTTTTCCATGGAGAGTGCGTGCGCAGCGTTTAAGCACCTTTGAGCTTCAAAGCGGTATTCATCATTTTTATCTATAGAGGGCGACTCATAGTTTTTCAGTTATTGATACATTGCGTTGGAGATCTTTAGTTGGAGTACTTTGGTACGTAGAATCTGATCAGTACTAGTAATAAGAGCAAGACAATTATTTGCCTCTATAACTATGTTTGGAAGGGTAAAAGACGGTAACCACACTTAATATTTCACCCCTTCCTTCTCCACTATTCTTCCTTTATCTCCTTCCATTTCTCTCATTCTCTTCCCCTTTTTCCGTCAAAAATTGATTTCAAAACTTTTGCGTTTTTAATGCTACAAGATGTCTCACCTGCCTGGCCACACTTATTATAATGCAAAATTCGCCTGAAAAAATATTTAACCACTTCCTCTCTTATAAAATATATCATGCTTTAGAACTATAGACATACAAATGTTGTTCATGTCTGTCTCAAGAGCTGATGATCTGAAAGATGATAGCAAATAGAATATGTAGGCCATATTGCATGAAAATATGATTCATTTGAAAAAATAACGTGTTAAGGTTACTGTAAGAGTTCTGTTTGTGCTACTGCATTTCGTGGAAAACTGTTGAAGTTGTTTCTTTTTATTTTTATAATGGATGGGTTGTTTTTGACTAGCAAAATAGCAACAATAAATCTGAAACATTGCTAGAATAATATATCTGTGTGCAGTGGTTTTCACTGGTTGTGATTTTCAGCAAGATTGATATCAGTGTGTCAGTATCATTTAAATGATTCCTAAATGTCATAAAAAAGCCTACACAATTTGGCCCAAACAATTACTCCTATATTATATACTACATAGTTAATATTTCCCGATAACTTAATAGACAGTTTCAATCGCTTTCGGACAGTTTCTCTCGTATATGTCATGCAGGCAAATTTAATTTACCAGCACTCATCTTTATCTGTAGTGGTATCATAAGTTCAGTCGCTCTGTTTAGATTATCTAAGGTATTCAACAAGATGACTGTTATCTTCTGTAATTTCTGTAAATTAGTGACAATCAACATAAGTGTTCATGAATGTATATTTGATTTGCACAAGATGCTGGCGAGAGTAGTATGCATCATGTATTTATGTGCACAGGTATTAAAAAGGTTTTTCGTGTATTTTATATTAATGGCCATCAGCCTAATTGCGAAATGCAATATCCATTTATTTATGAATTAAAGTTACAATAATTGGAACATGTTAAGGGAAAATTAAATAGCACAACAGGTTCGTTGTTAGTTAATCTAATAGGAGCTCAATTGCTCATTTATATTCTCTGTAGAGCGAGTAATACCTCAATGATGCCACGTGACGGGTTCAAACCGATTCCACACCGATCTGTTTTTTGACATTCGGGATAACGTGACTTTTATTTTATGCGGTCTGGGGTCGGTCTTGTGTTGCTCTCGTCCGTGCGACTGAGATTTTACATATTTATGAGTTATGTAGTGTTTAGTATGTTTATCATATCTTTTTAAATGTACTACTCGTTTATTTATTTTTAACAGATAAAGCAATACTAATTTCCATTTAAAGCCATATTCAGCTTAACTGCAAAAACAGGATATTAGTATAAACAAATGTTTTCATCAATGCTTGAATGTTAGTTAATTGACCTGTTCATATTGGTTGCTATATCTACTGGTAAACCGAAGTTTTTTCTTCATGTGTAGCATATTTATATCGTAAGGAAGTGGTTATGAGAGAGAGAGAAGAGAAAAGGAACAGTAGTCAATGATCGAGACGATGAGTGATAATTCGTAGGGAAGACAAAGAGAAAGAGCATGCAAGAGAAGGAAAAAAGAAAAGTAACAGACAGAATCAATCTCATTCTGAGAATGGATAGAAAAAGATAGAGAGAGGAGGAAGAGATCATCTGAAAAACATGTGCTTCGATGTTACGGCGTATGGACACCTAACTGCGATGACATCTTGGTGTCCATACAATGTGAGATAACACGGTATGCTAAGAAACATGGAAAGACATAACAGCGTATAGACAATATTACGTCAATTCTACGTCAGCTTGCGCTTCATTTAAAGATTTCTTTTATCACCTCATTAACGATTAAACAAATTGAATCAGTCGTTTTTATGCTCAGAAAATGTTCCATTTTTGTGATTTTTATTTGGGTAGGCTTTCAGTCATAACAAATAATACTTAATTTACAGATGTCAGTATCACATAAGACAAGTATAAGCTAGATCTGCCACAAATATATAGAGTGTCCGTCAACAATAGGCGTACCGTGTTTATACAAATAAAAAAATGTACATGTTATTGTAATATATAGGCTATATTTACAGCGTTTACATACTTTCCATGAATGTTTTCAGTAAGTTAACCGGCAAAAAAAGAACAGAGGAAAGTACACAAATGAAAAAGTTCGATATGTTAAAGTGACTCGGTAAAATTGATGAAGGTTGATGAAAAAAAATGTATGTAATTTGTGTATAAAATGTTACTTATTATATTCCTTCTACTGTACTAACCCTCTGACATGCAAAAATACTGAAACAAATTCTCAAACCACAAAGATATCTATGGTTTTCTTTGAAGGCGTAACTGGGCAACACCCTCCAACAGTGATTAACAGTAAATTCTTCCAACCTTTTTTGAATTTTCCCAACCGTTTTTCCATGAAAAAAGACATAAAACAGGCTATTAGAATCTTTCAACACCTAAATGTCTGGAATGGTATGTAAATCCAATATATTGTTTTGTGACAATTTACATTCACCTAAAATGTAATGAAATTGTAATTATATAGTTGGGAGAATGAAGGAATCGATCAGATCAGTTGTTTCCAATTTGTATCATAATTAATAACGGTCCGTTTTCACTCAAATTTTCAGATAATCTTTAACTGTACACCTAGCATAGAAGTCACTACCTTATCACCACTTTCTCTCATCTGAACAATGTTACCAAGTCCCTTTAAAGAGCAATCCAACCCTTGTAATAAGTTCATTTGTATAAAAGCGTATCTCAAATTGGCAGATTTGTCATTGTATTGTGACATTATAGTGACGGATAACTTTGCCGTTGGTCGTGCACAAAAAATATCATTATTCCGTTTTCGCATAAGCGCCTTCTCCCTTTTAAAATTTCGGTAATTTTGTTTGTTGGAAGAATTTGGGAAAATTGTCACCACATCACAGAGACATTACCGATTCAGCCCATTTGAAAAGGCTATTATTTGTAGTGATTTCAATTTTTTAAATTTAATAATTTTCTCAATTTTGTCTGATTTCATTCAAACTTTCACCAGTCTACTTTTCAGATTTTTCTGCTTTTCTCTAGTCGGTAGTTTAATTTCCAGGTTGGATTCCCCTTTAAAGGTACTTCACACAACTGTGTAATAATAGCTAGTTCTTATATAGCGCTTTCCAAGACCAAAGGCCCTCTCAAAGCGCTTTACAGATATATATGAAACAGAAAAGGGCCAGTAGTCTGTCCCGAAATAGTCACCCCATTTTCCCATAAGAATTGACCGAACGAAGTCAAGCTTAAAGATGAAGTTGAGTTCTGGTCATGCGATTGCATTGTGAAAGAAACAGTGTGGAACCGACAAGAAAAGGTTGATCATCTAGCATATAAGAATTTGTTTGTATTGCAACGTTCTGGAATCATCAAAATGATAAGAAATTTGGCCAAGTCTTGGTAAAGTTACACACACTATACACAGAAAAATGTATATGGGACTACACGAACACGTGGCGTAAAAAGCCGGCCCCCGATTTTTACGATGTTACATGTATATTTAGAATATGAAGGCATTTGAAGAGCCATGCTTTTCAGGGAACATGTCTTATCTGATGTTCTTCCACACTTGCATAATAAGAATGAGTAACGCTCACAAATTATTTTTCACCTCTTCCCAGAACTCAACATTCTCTTTAACATTGTCCTAGGGTATGGTCAATCACATTGGGTCACCGCATACCCATGCACCAAACGTTGTTAGGAGGGATTTGTAGGTATATTAACGTGACACAACAACTGAAGAACAGAAATGTAAGGTCTGGATTGATTCCCAGACCAACCACCGTGTGTAGTTATCAAAGAATATCCCGTATGTTTGAATTCAATTTAATTTACCAATTATAACAGAAATGCAGTAAACGTTTACAAAGATATCATAACATTTTTACATTTCTTAGGATGTTTAGACAAGAAATAGAACTTACGACTGTTAAACAAATACAATTTGATATATTAGGCAAGTTCAATGTAACATCCATGCCAAGAGTAAGATGATAAATTATTATAAAATGAAGGGGAAAAAATAATACTATTAACTTTACAGGATGACCCGTGAAAGCTGAAAAGATACAATATAATGACGATATAAGTCAAGGAATATAAGCACAAACATTTACAAAAATACTTTCGGAATAACAACATGAGAGAAAAGTTTAAACATATTTGTGGCTTACACCCAGTAAATAAGATCGATAGAAATTTTTCTCAGGAAGCATTACATTTATTAAAAAAAATGAGAGAAATAACATTAAAAAGAAGTAAATCAATATCTTACCAATTTTCAAGCTGTACATTGTATCGCTAGCTTTCATTAAATATCTAGGAGAAACGATTACACAATGCAAGAAGTAGACGCATAGTTAAGGTACAGTATTTACATACTATTTCGAGAGAGGAGAGTTATAATTATATTGGATAATTACAACGGTATTCAGACAATTAACGTGTATAGAGAGAAGAGGTATCGTCTTATTTTGGTTACTTATCACGTAATAAACAATAGAATATGACACACTATATAGGGCCATATTAGAGTAGAGCTGGAGCAGCGAGGTATAGATACAAACAACACTAATAATGGTAATAAAGAGTGTGATAATGATTACAGTAAAACTTTGATAAAATACAACTTCTTGTCACAAGCAAACGCGAGCATGTCTGGAGAGTGGGAAACTAAGTAACACCAATCGCTTGTAAGCGTCATATCAAGTAAATTGAACTCAACTCTCTCATTCAGGTTCAGACCATCAAGGTCATAGAGCCTGATCACCACGTTACCCATCTTCCGATCGACACTCGCTACATACACCCTGTCCTGCTCATCCACGGCAGCATACAGGTTGACACCGCTTGGAGCTCGTAGAGACTGACCAGCATTTCCATACCTGTCATAGACCGTCACCACGATTGGCTTATGATCACATGAACTCGTGACGAGCAAACCCGACCTGGTGGCAGATACCTGCCTCGTAATATTGTGCTTTGTTGGGACAGTGTGTTTGAGAGTGGATCCAGTTGGGTCGTAGATATAGATTTGCTTCCCAAAGTTTGCGATAAGGATTTCATCGGATGGACTTCTGTTTAGTCTCAGATAACAGCCAGAGCTATTTACGTAGATGGTTGATTTCCGGGAACAATTGTGAGAATAAAGGTGTGCGTCTGTGTATCCGGTCGATATGCATAACGAACCGTCTTGTTGAAACACAAGACCACAACACTTCATGTTACTTGGTATGTTTGCATACTGCTCCTGTTTACCAGCTGAATCAATGATATCTACATGTATACCATGTGTACCATTATATCCGATAGCTACACTGTCATCAGAGTACTGGGTCATTCCCCACATCCATCCCCGTAGATCTACACACTGGATGACTTGCAACTTGGGATCTGGTTCTGAGATGCTCCCGAGGTCCAGACGGGTATCAGCTGCAGGCTTGAACCTCTTCTCCTGTGCTCTCTTCGTAATGGCTGCCGCAGAAGTGTGATCAGTAGCCTCCTTTAGCATGGCATCCAGCTCCTCACAGAGCATGGTATGAGCAGACAGACTGTCTGTCTCAAGACAACCCAGTCTGTCATTAGATACCAGTGTTATTGAACTACAAATACTCTTGATCCTGTGTCGATCCTTAAATTTCAAGGCGCTGAGGTCGTCATCGAAACTCTTCTTTACTGCATTGATTTGATCGATTAGATTTTGATGATTTTCCTCAAGCTCTTTGACTTTGATGCTGTAGGCTTGACTGACATCATCCAGTAGTTTCTGCACGGCAGTGTATACTTCGTGACGTTGTACTTCGACATTTTGAATGTTCTTCTCAAGTTCTGTCTTCTTAGCGGCACATCGCTGGACAAGGTCGTTCACCTAAACAGAACAAATGATAGAGAAATGAAAATAACTTTTTCTGGCATGATATGTATGCTAATAACATGGAGTTGATTTGAACATAAAATACAGGTGTTGCAAGCGCCTGAATTTTCACAAAAGTAATACCCCCCCCCCCCCCCACATAATCATACGAGGACAGAGGAATTGAATATATTGTTGTTTTTCTGATTCCTTAAAAGGGAATCCAGCCCTAGTAATTAGTCCATTTGTATGAAAGCAGTAATATAAGATAAACAGAATGGAGATAGTTTTATGATAATAATGATTATAATCATCACCATGGTAATAATGATAACAAAAGCAATACATAGATAATAAGAAGAATAATGGTACTACTACTTCTACTTCAAAGTATGGTGATGATGATGATGATCATGATAATTTTCATTAACATTATTACTTTTATCTAAATGATTTTCGTGTAACAAAAGAAAAAAAAAGACATTGCATTTCTCAAAGATTTGCAATTGAAGCATATTTAAGATTCATATTTTGTTACATATATTTTGTAATTCCTTGCGAGGCCACCCCCCCCCCCCCTGGTCCCCTCCGCCTCCACCCCTTCCTCGCTTCTCGTGCAAATGGTACCTTAAATTTGAATGATTTTGTCGTTTTTATGCCAAACTGCATGAGACACACGTTGCCTTTACAATCCTTGTCAGGGGGAGAGCCCAATAAACAGAACACTAAAAAGTAACCTCTTTTGGGAGTGTATTTTAAGTGATTTTAAAGTACAGTGCCTTTTGAACTAGATTTAAACGTTATCGACACGTGCCTTCATTTAAACAAAAAAGGTACTCCTGTTAACGTTTTCATCTAACCTAAAAACCACCAGTTTATCACGCGACTAGAGTAACGTGATTCCACTTACCTCTGTAAATCAAGTGTTTATGACCAAATAACCACTTGACCAAGCAACGAGTTTTTTGTCAGTTAACCGATGGTGGCGATAAATACGTAATTATTTGGTCTTGTAAGCACCTTTATTGATTGGTTTCACAGGTTATCCAAGGTTAATGGTAATAATCACGTTACTTACACCGGCTAATCGTCTTATTGTTCTGTCCGTGAATCTCTGGTTATATTCAACAAGTAATTCTGAGGTGTCTTACACACCTCTTTGAAAGGTTTCAAAGTTACCATAAATTTCTTGGTTATGATCACGTGGCTCAAGCTGATTACTAATCCAAGCTGTGAAAACGTGATATGTAGGTGTGAAAATTAGTAATTATTAAGTGTTTTAAAACACCTTTTTAAATGGTAGTCAAAGTTGCCATAAGTTCCGCGGTGATGATCTCGTGACTCAAACGAATTATTAATCTAAGCTGGTCATACGTGACTTTTAGGTGTGAAAAATTAGTCATTATTAGGTGTCTTAAAACACTATTTAAATGGTTTCAAAGTTACCATAACTTTCTTGGTGATGATCACGTAGTTAAAACTGATTACTAATCTAAGCTGTGAATCCGTGATATTTAGGTGTGAAAAATTAGTAATTATTAGGTGTCTTAAAACACCTATTTAAATGGTAGTCAAAGTTGCCAGCAGTTCCGCGGTGATGATCTCGTGACTCAAACGGAATATTAATCTAAGCAGGGCATTCGTGACTTTTAGGTGTGAAAAATTAGTCATTATTAGGTGTCTTGAAACACCTATTTAAATGGAAGTCAAAGTTGCCATTAGTTCCGCGGTGATGATCTCGTGACTCAAACGGATTATTAATCTAAGCTGGGCATACGTGACTTTTAGGTGTGAAAAATTAGTCATGATTAGGTGTCTTAAAACCCCTATCTAAACCGTAGTCAAAGTTGCCAGCAGTTCCGCGGTGATGATCGCGTGACTCAAACGAATTATTAATATAAGCTGGGTATTCCGTGTTTTCCATGTGTGAAAATGAGTTATTCTTGGGTGTCTTGATAGTTTCACAGTTACCATTTAAGTTCCGTGGTGATAATCCCGTGACTGTTGGCATATTTCTATGTTCACCAGTTGATAACTGACTGTTGGCATATTTTCATTGCACCAGTTGACAACTGGAGTGTGCATATTTCCAGTTGCACCAGTTGATGACTGAGCGTTGGCATATTTCGAGTTGACCCAGCTGACACCAATTCATTTGCATATTGAATATGGGGTGCGTGCAGATCTATGTTTTTTAAACAATTTATCTGAATTTACAGCATATTTCTTAATTACTGATGATTTAGTTATATGCAATTCATTTCGAAAATACTACAAATATAAATTACCAGTTATTAGGACATTTCGCTACTTCGTATAAATTACATTTAGTTAAACATGAATAAGGGAAACATTAACTGTGAACTAAAATAATTTCAATAAAGTACAAGTATACGAAATTTGTTCGATTAATTCAATTATGTAAGTCTACTTATTACCAATGCCCTTACATTGGAAATACAGACGTACCAGTATTGAAGTTTTGTTGCTGTTCAACTGGTTGGAAGTTTTACCAAATGGTTCTCATGGCTCAGCTAGACCAGTTGAATTATAACTGGCCTGGATCAACTGGATCATTTAGCCCATTTCAATTTCCAGGGTTACCAGTTAGCATCAAATGGTTCATCAACTGGACCAGTTGCAACTAGCTTTCTCTTCTGGGATGTTTGCACCCCCCCCCCCCCCCACCCAACCCCCTCTAATCCCAAACTGCTTCGTGCGCGCCTGGACGTAATTATGGAAGATCCAAGACACGATGTTCAGAAACGGGATGAGAACGTCATTATTTTGGTTCATTTATTGTGTAACATTTGCGTAATTATTGGGTTGAACGCGGGTTACAGTAACGTATTTCCTCTTCGACGTAAATTTCACGTGAATGAAGAACATGATTCATCTCAAATCAGCCTCGTAATATTCACGTGAATTTCACGCAGATATTTTGACTAAAACTATCACTAACGCTTCACGTGTTTCTGTGACGCGATAATTTCGTGTATGAAGATGTAATTTTATAACAAAACAAACACGGGAGTATTAGGTTTACAAACCATGGTCTCCAAGGTAGGGATAATCACGTTATTATAATGGTGATATCGCAGTGACAATTGCGTGATTTAGTGTACGTGTGTTTTAAGTTACCTAATGCAATAAACGTATTAACACATTTACGTAAATGTCCGGTGTTTGAAGAACGTAACTCTCCTCAAGTCGATACCTTGATATTGACGTGATTTTCACGTGATTTTGTTTATTGGGAGGGACCTATTTTTGCCCGAACCCTTTAGTTTGATTGATGGGAGAATCTTCTCGTTTGGTTGCGGTGCCTAGTATACATTGTAGACAGGGTTTATATACTGACAATAAACACCTGATCAATCAATATTCGAGGGAATTAAGCGACCGCGTGGAGGAATGTTTGATTTTAGGATGCTCGAAAAATATTTTTCAGAGCAATTGAAAGTTTATTTTGATGCAGGGAGTTCGATATAACTTTCCTTTATTTTTCCTTGCGAGGGGGATACCTTCCCTTATCTGAATTGTATGAGTAAACTTGTCAGGCCTTTATAGCCAAACGCAAGTTGATTTTTTGAATGAACCCACTGACCTTTATTCAATTTTGTCCCCCACTTGACGTCAACCCCCCTCTGCCCCATCCCTCCGACTTCCAGCGCCTATGGTACCTTCCCTTATCTGAATCGTATGAGTTAACTTGTGTCAGGCCTTATAGTTTTTGTCAAATGAACCCACTTACCTTAAGACGTAGCTGCTGCTCGAAGTCAGCCTGATTCTTGATGTTGTGATTTTGATGACCGACGATCACGCACTTGAGACAGACATGGACCTTACAATCCTCACAAAACATATCTTTGTCCTCTTGTTTGTGGATGGAGCACTTCTCGGATAGATGACCAATACTGACCTTCCCGTTGATGATATCTTGTATGGATACAATCTCATGACCTTCAAAGACTGATGTCATAAGCTCATGACTGCAGTCGCAATTAGTACACAAGTAATTATTACACGTTCTACAGAATGAAACAGCATCTGATTCTTGATGAAACTTGGAAGCAGTGCATTTTGGATGCATCTCAAGGACAGCGTTCAACCCTCCACACTCGGTGTGGTAATTGTCTACAAGTCCGTTGACAGTCTCATTGGTGAGGAAATCATCGACACGGTTTACAGACAACTTGGTGAACTTCCTGCAGAGAGGACAGATCATGTGATCGAGATCCAGGTGTGAAAGGTCATAGTTCTTGAGACATTTCCGACAGAAGGTGTGTCCGCATGAAGTCAGGATGGTTGCCTCGTCGAAGATATCAAGACATAGTGGACATGTAAGGTTCTCTAAAGAGCTTGGAGCTTTCTCTTTCTCATTCTGCTGAGCCATTGGTACAAAATATCGGATTTCTGACTTATTAGAAACACGAGCTCATTCTACGCATATATCCAATGTCCAACTTGAACTAGAAGCCAACAGTTAGCTGCTGCAAGCACAAACTACATTGCATATGTAATGCAGTGACGTAGTAGATTATAGTAGTAGATTGCGTAACTGCATGCATGCAGTTCTGTACCAAGTTCTCACGCTGGTTACAAATATGTGACGAAAGAGGAGCGAATTACTTAGATTGAAAATACTGAGTCTCTATTCAAGTGTATACATCAATACAAATGTAACTACAATGTATAAACTAACAGTAGATCGTCTGTTAATATAATGCAATTTGTGCATCCTAGATCTATGAATAGAAGTGGTTTTCCCACAGAGATTGGGCGCGCAGCCTATGTTAAGCACCTTTGAACTTATTTCCTAATTCGCAAACTCAAACGGAAATACATCGTTTCCTATTGATCTTACGACCTCTGCTATCAGGGGCGTAAATCCGTACCGAGGAGTGGGGGATGATTAGCCTCTTGTCGATGCCCTCGCGCTGTTGTAGTGTCTAAATTCTGACGAGCGAAGCGAGTCAGAGAAACCGAGGCGCTTGCGAAGCGAGTCAGAGAAACCGAGGCGCTTGCGCAAGCGCCTCGGTTTCTCTGACTCGCTTCGCTCGTCAGAATTTAGACACTACAACAGCGCGAGGGCATCGACAAGAGGCTAGGGGATGATCGGCGATAGCCATCACATACTAGCACGAGCACGCCCACACTAATTTACGCAAGCGCGCGCGATCGCGCACGCACAAACACACAACACACACACTTTTTTTTTTTTTTTTTTTAACAATTTTGTTTTATTTCTCCAGATGTGTAATACAAACCATGACATACAATTGAATAAAATAAACGTGTTCAATATTGATGCTTTTACATAAACATAATTAAACACAAACTTATTTGCAGTATAATATAACTTAACAACAAAGTAAACGTATAAGTACCTAAACATAATATGTCAATTGTAAATGTTATTTACTTATATATTACAAAAAAAAAAAAAAATCTGGAGATAATTTTACTGAAACAATCCTGCCCCCTCCCTGCCCCCTACATCACACAGACATACTCACCCTCTATCACACAAACATACTCACCCACTCACACACATACTCACCCACCCACCCACCCACCCCCCCCCCCCCCACCACACACACACACACACACAGTACTCACTCAGTGGATGTCTGCCAACATTCTCAACTTAAGAAAAATATACTAAATAAGTTATCCAGGCCGCAAAATCGAGTTACGCTTTTAACAAGCTCACGGTGGAGAAGAAAGCAAATCTTAATTAATCTTAAGCTGCTCCCACTTTAAAAAATGTGATCCTAGCTTTCCCATTTTAATTGCTATTTTCTTTTCCTCATCCCTATACTTAAAAATGCTTTTTTTCATCTTTTCTAAAGTTAGTACTCGCCCCCCCGATCTTGACATAAATGTAACATACTTCACCATGAAAATGATAGTATTACACATTTTTATTCTATATGAACTACCTACCAACCCAACAAATATATCTCGCCATTCTAAATCTTTAATTTCATCTAACTCAAAAAGTTGTATTAAAGCCTGCCATAACCTTTGAACGCTCCCACAAGATAAAAATAAATGTTTGTATGTTTCTATTTCCTGCTTACAAAACGAACATAAATTATCACCAACAAAACCAAATCTATGAAGATGCTCATTAGTGTACATGGCTCCATGCAATAATTTAAATTGAAATTCACGTTGTTTTCTAATGAGTATAGTAATTCTTGGTCTCACAAATATTTCTTTTAATTCTTTATCTATAAAATCATAATCATTTTGCCCATCCCTTACCTGCAAATCATACGTTCGCTGCAGTGCTTTGATGAAATAATCATAGATTGTTCTTGAACCCACATCCACAAACTGTATTTTTTTACTAGAAATATGGAAATAAGTATTAAAGCTTATCAAATCAACCTCGAGGAATTCTATTAACCCTGAATCATCCTTCCATAACCTGGGTATCGCATCATAAATATCAATAATCATAAGCAAATTATTACCTTTCATACCGAGGTTCATAAAATATTTAACAGGCTTAACATGACCTTTCTCAACCAAATGATTCAGTTGAACAATCCCTCTTTCAAACAAGTATCTATCAAATATACTTTTTCCATTTATACATATATTCTGATTATTAAAAATAATTGGATTAATATAACCCTCCAAATATCTTAAATTACTTGTCTCTTGCCATGCTTGCAACATTTCCATATAGTATGGTGGAATATCTAAAACGAGTTTAATCTTGTTTAAATCATAATCACATAAAAAAATAAATCTACCACCCACAAACTGTAAGCAATGATCAAAAAACAATTTCCATCCCAAACTTTTCTCTCCATATAAAAGACGTTTTATCCACATTATGCGCTGTATTTTAACGGACATTTCAAAATTAATCATTCTTAATCCTCCAAAGTCATAATCCTGATACATTATTGCCCGTTTAATTCTATCTTTCCCCCTCCATATGAATTCAAATGAAATTTTTGCAACTTCTTTATATACCCAATGAGGGACAATAACGAGAGATGAAATATAATTTAATTTTGAAAGCGCATAAGTTTTTAGCAAATGTATTTTACCCATAATAGTTAAATCTCTTTGTTTCCACCATACAAGCAATTTTTTTATTTTACTTAGAATTTCTTTATAATTCAAATCATCTTTTAAACTTCGATCTAATGAATAACTAACCCCTAAAATATGTATTTCCTTAACCAAATTTCCAAATAAAGGCCCATCAGGTTTGTTCTCATCCTCACCCATCCACATAAAATGTGTCTTTGTTTTATTCACTTTAAGACCACTAATTTTTTCAAATGATTCAAAAATATATTGCAACCTTCTAACCGAATCAATATCCTTCAAAAATATTGTCATATCATCTGCATATAACACTTGCCTAATTTCAGATTTTCCAAATGTAATCCCTTTAATACCGTTGTCCCTCCTTACTGCATGCGCCAAAATTTCGATGGCAACCAAAAACAAATATGGCGATAATGGATCCCCTTGCCTTACTCCCCTTTCTATTTCAAAATACCCCGTGGAGTGACCACCGTTCATAACACAACTACTTATTCCTTTATACAATAATTTTACCCAAGAGCAAAATGAATCTCCAAAACCGAACAATTTCAATATTTGAAATAAATATCTATGAGATACAGAGTCGAAAGCTTTCTCAAAATCCACTGCACACAAAAACCCTTTCCCTTGTTCCCCATAATGCATAGAATAAAATAACATGTCATCTATCAATCGTACAGCTTCCCCAATATTTCTATCTTTTATATATCCAACTTGATCATGATGAATTATTTCATTTAAAACCTCTTTCATTCTTTTTGCTAGAACTTTAGATACAATTTTATAATCTACATTCAAAAGCGTGATGGGTCGATAATTTTTTATATGGAGAGTATCTTTCGCTTCCTTCTCAATTAAGGTAATTACCCCTTGTTTTTGAGATGCCGTTAATTCCCCCCTTTCGTATGTTTCATTCAATACTTCTACTAACAAATCACCCAAAGCTGGCCAAAAAGTATAATAAAATTCAACTGTTAACCCATCATTTCCCGGGTTTTTATTCAATTTCATTTCTTTTAAAACTTTCAAGCATTCATCTTTAGTTAATTTACCTTCACAGATTTCCTTATTGTCTTCATTTAACTTTGAAATATCATTGAAAAAGAAAGGGTCGTTTTGATTTATATCAGCCCTTAAAGAATATAAATCTTTATAAAATAGTTTAATTTCCTTTAAAATTTCCTCCTTATCTCTAGTAGTTTCCCCATTTTCTTTGTACACCTCCCTAATTACACTTTTCCTTTTATTCGATTTTAACAACTGTTCAAAATATTGCGTATTGTTTTCTCCATCTTCAAACCAAGGTGCTCTTGATCTTATTTTAATGCCCTGTCGAGAAAAATCATACAATTTATTTAGTTTATCCCTTTTCTCCTCAATACAATCAACAATATATTTAGTGGGTCCCACTACCAGTTCGCCTTCTAAATCCTTGATTTGTTTCTCTAACAGTTCTATTTCAACCCTCCTTGCTTTTGCCTTTTTCCGCGAGTATGTTATAATAAATTCTCTCATTTTCATCTTTAAAAAATCCCAAAATACTAATTTATTCAAAATCTGTAATGACCATTCAGCTTTTAATTCCTGTATTTCCTTATTCATCTCTTCAACAAAATCTTTATCCATACATAAACTACTGTTAAATTTCCAATATGATTTCCCAAAAACAAACTTATCAACAAGATCATTAAATTCTAGCCTAACGCCAGAATGATCTGGCGTAATAGATGTCAAAATCTCACACGTACCCACCAATTTTTCAACACTACAAGGTATAAACCAATAATCTAAACGGCTTTGCACCACCGGCCAATTTTGTCGAAAAGTAAATTGCTTTACATTCGGATTTTTTTTCCTCCATATATCTTCTAAATCGTATTTATTTAAAAATTCCTTAATCAAATCAATAACCCGAGATTTCACCGGTGTTTTTGACCCCACATAATCTAATTTTCCATCCAATATACTATTGAAATCACCTCCTAATAAAACTAAATAGTCCCGATCACACTGATCAAAAATACTTTCATCTAACTTCTTCAAAAATTCAATTTGTAAAGTTTCTTTATCTCTCGTTGGAAAATAAACATTAACCAATAGCATTTTAACCCTTTGTATTTCACCTTTAAAATAATGTATCTCCCCTCTTCATCTACTTTAATTTTTTTTTCTTCAAAATCTAAATGATTAGAAAATAAAATAAGAACCCCTCTACTATGGTTTGACCCATGACTAAAAAACATTGGCCCTCCCCAATCTTGTTTCCACCGCTCTTCTATCTCTACTGTACTATATGTTTCTTGTAAGAAAATTATA